AGCGGGGACCATGAGCGCCGATGAAGATGATCGGGGTCGCCTACGTACTCCGGGTCCCCTCCGACGGGTCTGCTTCTGCAAAAGAAGAATTATAATACTATAAGTTAAAATTTTGGCGATGGCTCCTATCTGGGAGGTTTCCAAAACTTGTAAGAAAAAGCCCCACATCGACATATGTATCACGAAGGCCGTCAATGACATACAAGGCACGAAGGCCAACAACCGGGGGGGTTTATACCTTGGGTGGCGGTGGAGTCGAGGCGATCTGGTCTTTGGTCACCTTCATCTCCAACCGAGGGGGGGACGACGGCGGGGGACAAGCAGGCGGCGTGGCGGTGGCGGCCAGGCTCCTCCTCCTCCTTCTCCTTCATCCTCCTTCTCCTTCTCCTCCCTTCTCCTTCTTCCTTCTCCTTCTCCTCTCCTCCACCTCCCTTCTCTCCTCTCTCCCTGCTCCTCCTCTCCTCCCTCCAGTGATTTTAGGGGCGGGGGCAGTTGAGTAGGGCACCACCACCAGGTCCGCGTCCGTGGTGGCGGAGCCGAGGCAGGCGGGGTCAGGCTGCGGTGGTCGGAGGCGGCGGCGGGCGGGCTGGCGGGGGGCGCACCACCGGCCGGGAGGCAGACTCGGGCCTGGGCGGCCAGGCGGAGGTCCGGCAGGCGTCGGTGGTCCGCGACAGTGGGGCCAGCAAGCGGGTGTGACAGGGAGAGTGGGAGAGTGGGAATGCGGGCCCGGCCGACCCGCTAGGGTTAAGTAGGGCGACCCTTTGCCGAATGTCGAGATGCGGGCACTTTCGGCAAAGAAATCAGGGTTCTTTTAATCCGAAGATGAAAAAAATTCTAAATATTCTTTCTTAGAGTGCAAATTTTCGGCAAAGAGAGTTCCTTTATTTTAGAGTGCCAATTCCGACACTTTCAAAAGTATTTTATTTTTTATTTTTTTTTGTTTTCAAATTTTTTTCTATGGCATTTATCTGATTACCTTGAAGCACATGTTCCAATTTGGAACTTTTCTATGACTTTTTGGTATATTTTTTAAATTTTTTATGTTTACTTGAATTTTTCTCGAAAAAGTAAATTTGAACTGCAGGTGCATGAAATATTGGAATTTAGCGATTCAAAAAATGGTATTCATGTTTTTGAGTGTATTTTGAGGCCGTGTCTTGAGGGACATTACGTGAAATTTGAACATACATTTCACGAAACATGACCACCAACTTGTTAAAAAACTTTTTTAATTATATAAAATGTAAGCGAAGTCCAAAAATCACGAAACTTGTCAGGTGTCATGTCATCACATGTAGAGGCTGTGGTAAAAAATTTAGAAGTTTCCAAACAAGTTGTGACGTTTTTGATGCCTAAAACTCGAGACATCTCCATGGGTTTTTAGGCATCGTGGCAGCTCATCAATTTACTTTTTCGAGAAAATTCAAGTAAAACTTGGTGAAAATTTAAAAAATATACCAAAAGTCATAGAAAGTTCCAAATTGGAACATATGCCAAAAATTCAAGAAAATTCAAATTGTATAAATGCTATCTTCAAAAATTTGAAAACAAAAATAAAAATACTACGAGTGGGACTCGAACTGGCACTCGGCAAAGGAACCTCTTTGCTTAGAGTGCCGGGACACATACTCGGCAAAGATCGCGACGTTGCCGAGTGCTAACGGACAACACTTTCGGCAAAGGATGACGGAGGGGCCATCGGCGTCGCTGAGAGGTATTTTGCCGAGGGTTATTCTTTGTCAAGTGCACGACACTTTCGGCAAAGAAGAGGACGTTGCCGAGTTTCCCTCTTTGCAAAGTGTTTGGCCCTCGCCAAAGATGGCCTTTGCTTGTGCTTTGCCGAGCTGACACTTTCGGTAAACTGCCTCTTTGCTGAGTGCCCGTGTTTCGAAACTCAGCAAAGCGCCGAGCACTCGGCAAAGACCGCGTCTCCCGTAGCGATGCATGGTACCTTGTAATCTTGACGACGCATTGGAGAGCTGCCAGTAAAATAGGGTGCATAATGAGTTTGAGATGCAGTAGTACTCCAAACACATTTGATATTACTTTATGACTGGGCGTAAAAATTAAAGTTATAGTCAGCAGCATGATTGTTCACTACCGGAAATGGTAGTTTTGCCGTGTGTCGGCGATGCTCAAAAAACACTCGGCAAAGGCTTTGCCGAGTGTTACACTCGACAAACAGCACACGGCGTACACAGTGCCGGCAAAAGTTTCTTTGCCAAGTGTTTTTTATTGGGCACTCGACAAAGACTTTGCCGAGTGCTAAAACCTACGCTCGGCAAAAAAAGCAATGTGACGGCGCGGAGACGGTCACGACGCGTTTGCCGAGTGTCTAACGGCCTGGGCACTCGGCAAACATGCCCTTGTTTGCCGAGTGCCCGGGCCATGACACTCGGCAAACATGCCTTTGTTTGCTGAGTGTCCAGGACCTGACACTCGGCAAACATGGCTTCTTTGCCGAGTGCCGAGTGTCACATCCCGGACACTCGGCAAAGACCGGCCATTGTAGGCCTAGATTTTGGCCTCTTTGCCGAGTGTCACAGTGACACTCGGCAAAGATGGCCATTTTAGGCCCAGAACGCACAGATTTTTGCCACATGGCCTCTTTGTCGAGTGTATTTAGCATGGCACTCGGCAAATAGCCTTTTTGCCGAGTGTAACACTCCGCATGAGATACCATATATATCCAGTTTATTTGGTTCGGTCACATATAACATACCACACTTAAATAAACATTATTTCCATCACAGATAGTTCACAATAAGCATCACAGGCAGTTCATATAGATATGTCGACAACACATAAATGCAAATAAACTTCAGAATCACAAGTAGGTTCATTCACAATCACAAATGCAAAAAAAATTCAGATTCACAAGTAAGTTTGTTCACAGTCCCTCTCCAGGCTCATCAGAAATGCAAATAAATGTAGTCACTGTGACCACTGTGACCACGGTCGGTCATAAGGCTCATTCGATGCCGCAGATTGATTCTGCACAAAGGAGAAGAGATAAATCATTCATTGTGATTGAGAACGAAACATACATGTATTAGAAATAAACTAGCAACTAAAAATAGTGATTAATTCTGCGGAAACTAAAAGTAGCTAAGTTAAGATGATTGAGAATGAAACAGTGATTACAAGGTTAACTACAAACTAGAAATAAACTAGAAATTAGAAACTAGAAACACACGCACATCACAACAGAGAAAAGTTTGATTATGCATAAACTAGAAACGGTGATTATAAGGTTGTGAAGTGACTCACAGTGCCGGAAACAGTATTTGGAGCAGGTTGAGGAGGAGGGACTGGCATCGATGGCGGAGGTTGACTAATTGCAGCGTAAACACCCCTCATCATTTGAAACATCTGCAGCCGCTCTGCCTCCATCCTCTGCCACTCTACCTCCATCCTCGCCTCTAGCTCCTCCTGGAGCCTTGTTTCTTGTTACAACTGAGCCTACAATATTTCATTCCAATGTTACAATGCAATGCAAAAGTTTGTAAAAATCAATGAATGATGAATAAAACAGAAATAACCTAGAGTGTGTCCATCTAGAACCGTGTAGAGTCTAGCCGTGGGCGTATTGCTGGGCTGGAACTCGTGCTCCGTGCTCGAAGCTGGGAGAGAGTGGGAGTACCGGTCATGCTTCTTGCCTCCTCCCGCCCTCATGACCACTTCTCTATCAAGGTCATGGGCGCTCAGATCATACTCTAGGGATAGAAGGGGCCGCCATACCTGTGTCGGTGCTCGTCGCCGACGATGGGTCTGACTAGGAACTGGCGAAGAGACGTGTTGAAGAGCGGCGGGGCTAGCACAGGGGGCCAGGGATAGGGGGCGGAGGGGGCCGGGGGCTGGGGGTAGGGGTCGGCGTCGGCGGGGGCAGGGGGCGGGAGGATGGGCGCGGAGGCGCGATAGGCAGCGGCGGGGGAGACCGGTGGCGCGGGAGGGAGCCGAGCCGCGCGTGGCGCGAGATGTCTTGGCCGGGCACGCCCAGCGGGTGAGAGCGAGTTTGTGTATGTGCTTGTGTGCGGGCGAGGGAGCGTCGGGCTGGAAATGAAGAAGGTTTGCCGAGTGTCGGATCAGGGCGAGTGTCAAATGGGGCACTCGGCAAACCCTGCTTTTTTCATTTTCCTTCTTTTCCATAACGTGTTTTTCTTTTTTCCGATGTACTTTGAAAATAACTTGTCAAATTGACTCAATAATATATATTTGAGTTTTTTACGAATATTATTACATTATTTTATGCCGTTACAGCTCAAATTTAATTTATATCAATTAAAATTCTATAATTGCACTTAATAAATTAAAATTATCAAACGGATCCAAAAAAATTACCAAAATTTCACATGAAACAATCTATGTTCTCTATTGCCTATACAAAAAGTTTTAAAGCCAAACTCTAATTCGACCATCACTTTGACTCTAAATCTTACCGAATACTTCTCAACGCTACGATCCTTCTTCTGAGATGCTTCGGTTTGTAAACATCGTGTGTGACAATTTGTGTGAAACCTTCTCAAATTTTTACCACAGCCTCCATGTATGGTATCATCACATCATGACAAAACTCATGATTTTCAGACTTCGTTTGCTTTTTTTAAATTTAAAAATCAATCAGCCACACGTTGAATTTTTTTTTTTTTCATTTCCCGGGTAAGGCTGAGGCTGTCGGTCAGCCGACGGAGGCAGTCAAGCGGCCTTCCCCACAGAAGGTGACCGCTTCTACACGGAAGGTGACCGCTTCTACACGGAAGGTGGCCGACAATTATATGTTGACCTCTCTGGCATACCATTCTATGGTGGCGTGCCTCCCTCGGTTGGCAACTTGTCAAGGCTGCAGTATCTGATCTTTCCAATTCCAACTTGATCTGCAGTATCCTCTGCATCCGTCTATAATAATAACACTCTCACTCCGGAACGGATCCACTCTGGCTCCAGAACTGATCCTGCCATTCTCTTCTAGCATAGCGACATTATTGTCGATGGTTGCCACCATGCATCGCCTAGCTGCTGCCATGCTCGTGTTGCTCTGCTGCTGCTGCTTGTTCCTCGCCACGCAGCAGCAGCAGCAGCTCCAGCCAGCCGCCGGTGGTAACAGAGCGAGCCCGAGCTGCATACCACACGAGAGGGACGCCCTGCTGGCATTCAAGCACGGCGTCACCAGCGACCCTGGCGGCGTCCTCAGCTCGTGGCGGCGAGACGGTCGCCACGACGAGCAAGACTGCTGCCGGTGGAGAGGCGTCCGGTGCAGCAACCGAACTGGCCACGTCCACGAGCTTCGACTTGGAAGCACCTTCGACGGACCAGATTTGGCCGGCCAGATAAGTCCTTCCTTGCTTGCTCTGGATCACCTAGAGCACCTTGACCTCAGCTGGAATTATCTAGCAGGGCCAACGGGTCGTCTTCCCGAGTTCTTGGGCTCTCTAAAGAATCTCAAGTATCTTAACCTCTCTGGCATACCATTCTACGGTGGCGTGCCTCCCCAGCTTGGCAACTTGTCAAGGCTGCAGTATCTAGATCTTTCCAGCTGGATGGGAGGCATGAACTCGATGGATCTCTCATGGTTAACACACATTCCTTCCATACAATATCTTAACTTGAACAGAGTGGACCTCAGCACAGTAGCGGATTGGCCTCGTGTCATGAACATGCTTCCTTCTTTGAGGGCCCTCCATATTTCAGGCTGCTCTCTTGCAAGCGCAAACCAGTCGCTGCCACACCTGAACCTTACATATCTCGAGGAGCTCCATGCCTCCGGGAACTCCTTCCACCATCCAATGGTGACCAGCTGGTTCTGGAACATAACAAGCCTTAGATTCCTTTACCTCAGCTCCACTAGTATGTACGGTCAATTTCCGGATGCTCTTGGAGACATGACATCCCTGCAAGTCCTTGATCTTTCAAATGATTATTGTCTTTATGATTATCATGATGATGACAAGAACATGCGCAGGATGATCACGAATCTTAAGAACCTATGCAATTTGGAGGTCCTGAACCTTGAATGCACTCTCTTATATGGTGACGTAGCTGAGCTGTTACCAAGATGTTCACCAACAAATTGCAAGAATTGGACCTCGGTTCGAACCATTTAACCGGGACGTTACCAAGATGGATGGGGCAATTCATGAGCTTGGTTGTTCTGAATCTAGGTTGGAACTACATCACAGGACATGTTCCATATGAGATTGGTAAGCTTAGTAAGCTGACCCATCTGGATCTAAGTATAAATAAACTGGATGGCACGATAACTGAGGAACACTTTGCTAGTGCAGGGAGCTTGCAATATATAGACTTGTCATATAATGCCCTCAAGATTGAGATCAGCTCGGACTGGCAACCACCATCCAAATTAGATACTGTAAACTTTGCATCCTGCCAGATGGGCCCACTGTTTCCTGGGTGGCTTCAGTGGAATGTGAGCATCGCCTATCTTGATATCTCGAGTGCAGGCATAGCTGATAGGCTTCCACAGTGGTTCTCCGATGCATTTTCAAATGTTTGGTTCATGAACATCTCCAACAATCAACTCAACGGAACTTTGCCGGCTGATATGGGCTCCATGTCACTTCAGGAACTCGACCTCAGATCAAACAAATTAACTGGTCAGATACCCACGCTGCCACCAAACATACATACCTTGGACTTGTCCAATAACTTCTTGTCAGGACCTCTGCCCTCTGCTACTAGATCCGCCAATCTAACCCACCTTTCTCTGTTCTCCAACCGACTCACTGGTCATATTCCTGAATCTTTTTGTAAATATCAGCAATTAGTTGTGTTGGACTTATCCAACAATTTTTTGGAGGGAGAACCACCGATGTGCCTCGGGGTAACGGAATGTATGGAATTGGTAGCCTTAAGTAACAATAGTTTGTCAGGAAAGTTCCCGTCTTTTCTGCAAAAATTGACAAATGTGCACTTCCTAGATTTGTCTTGGAACAAATTCTCTGGAAGATTGCCAATGTGGATTGGAAGCTTAACATCATTAAGAGTTATACGATTAAGTCACAACAAGTTCTTTGGTAGCATTCCAGTGAACATCACAAACCTTTCTTGCCTTCAGTACATGGACCTAAATAACAATAAGATATCAGGCTCTCTGCCAATCTACCTATCAAATCTTAAATTTATGACAAACCTTTTTTGTTCTGACGCCATTGAAGTAATTGATTCTCATCTTAATAGTTTGTCTACGATCTGCGGAAGGGGCAGGAATTGAACTATGGTTCCATTAAAAGAATTGTGGAGACAAGTATGACGAGCATTGATTTATCTTCAAATGACTTAACGGTGAAATTCCAGAAGAAATAGTTGTTCTTGAAGCGCTTGTGAATTTGAATCTATCAAGGAACCACTTGACTGGAGTTATTCCAAAGAAGATCGGGAAATGCGATCACTGCAGTCATTGGACCTCTCGAGGAACATGCTTTCAGGGAAATACCAGCCACTCTGTCAAATATGACATTCTTAAGTTACTTGGAATTATCATACAACGATCTTACAGGAAGAATTCCATCGGGTACAGCTTGATACCCTGTATGCAGAGTATCCATCTATGTACATTAACAACGTCGGTCTTTGTGGACATCCTCTTCAAAACAATTGCTCGAGTGGCGCCATGCACCAAAGCAAGGTGGCCTGGAAGAAACTGAAGAAGGTTATGGGATACCATTCTTTTATCTTGGACTCGGGTGCGGCTTCGTGGTTGGTACATGGATTGCATTTGGTGTTTTGTTGTTCAAGAGAAACTGGAGAATTGCTTGTTTTCGACTCTCGGACAAGTTGTACGACAAAGTATATGTCCTTGTTGCTACATGGGCAAGAGCAAGACAAACACAAACTGATTAGCAAGCTTGAAGCAAAGGCGATGGTCGGCGCTTCAACTCAAATTAGCCAATACATGCATGTATGAATAATGGAAGTGGGAGAGAAGTCTGTTCAGGAGTGCTTTGAGTTTTGTTACTGCCAGTATTACATATTGCCATGGTTTTCTTTACGAAATGAAGATTTGTGTGTCCGTGTTTATCTCTTATATCATGTAATAAACTGAGAACCGACACTTGATCATTGGCCAACATTAGTGTTTGTTGTACAAGATAGATATTAGTTGTTAGTATATAGATAACATAAGTATGTTGTAAACTCTAGCTGATCTTCAGGATGTTGGTTTGTAGTCTGTACAAGACGTTCGCCTGGTCAGCTCAGGGCGCTATATAACACGTAGACGCGGCCTCTACAGAGGTTAACACGCTTCACCAAGTTTTACAGTAATAATTATTTCCTTATGATGATGAACATTAAGACATGGCCAATCAATTCCATGTAGCGCTTCAGGAGGCACTACATCATTGGTCCCTGTGGGCCATGGTAGTCGGATCCGGCAACCTGAATACGACCTATCGTTGCATGTTCCACGCTCATCGTCCACATTAGGGCTTGTTTGGATGCACCCGTATCCACCTTAGTCCACGTGTGTTGAAGTGGATTGAGGTGAATACAATGTACAGCCAAGGCTTGGCGTGTCGTGGAATTTCATTGTACCTAGGCGAGGGATGATATGAATCAAAATATCATGGTCTCATCTGCAACCAAAGTGTTACGTATAAGCAACATTCACTTACCATACACATTGAACAAGAAAGCAGAGAACAAGGAGAGCAAATTTCTCAGAAATTGAAGAGCCCAAGACATGAGCACCGCTTAACTGGTGGAGCAGTAGTATACTGCTACACCTGCAGTACCGCTACCTACAAACTGGAGAGCGGTGCTAGTCAAATCTCAAATGGGGTGCAAAATGACTTGGGGATATATAGTACTCCAGGCACATTTGAGACGATGACTTTTTATGATCAGGCAAATAAAAAAATAAAGTTTTCATAAAAAAAAAGTTTATATATAGTCACCAGCATGATCTTTGTTACGTACCATCGCAAGGGAATAATCATGTTCAATCTGCCCATACTCGACTCAACACAAAACTACTAATATGGTCATAATAACAAAACGAAAACTGAACAACGAAATGATGATGGTCCGGTTCTGGTTCTCTTCATCATAGACGAAAAGCAACACATAAGGCAGTCTAAGATGATAAGCAAATGATTTATTCACAGCTCTAAACAAGTTATAAACTAAATCAGGCACCACCAAAAAAACAAGAACGCAACTTCACCAAAAGGCTACAGATCGAACTGTGTAACCTTTATAGAGTAAATCTTAGCAATTCCAACTTTCCAAGAACCAACGGCCACTTGCAGGTTGCTAGCTGCAACGGCTGCTGCTGCATCTCTCCCTTCCATAGCTACCTTTTAGGCTTTTACATACCACATGCTGGGACTTGGACGGCGCTGGCGTCGTCGCCGCCCTGGGCGCGCCCCTGACCGGCCGTGGCCCGCGGGGCTATTTTTCCAGTGGAGCGAGACGACGACGTCTGCGAGCCGGCTTTCATGCAAGGACGGCGCCAGCGACGACAACGCCCTGGGCCTGTCGGCCCAGTCCGCCCGCGGGGCAGTTTTTCCAGCGGAGCTGGAGGGAGACGACGCCCGCGAGGCGGCTTTCACCGACGACAGCGCCGGGGACGCCAATGTGAGCTGCCAGCGCTTGACGCGCGGCGCGAGGTCGTCGGCGGGCCCGAGAGTACGTGGCGACGGTCCTCTTGACGGTGGCGGTCCCGTTGGTGTTGAGTGGAGGAGCAAGAGGAAGCCATGTGTGCAGTGTGCTGTGGGCGTAGCGCGCTTAGCTTCCTCAGCGCTGGAGGGGGGAGGCGACGTACCTATGCAGGAGAGAGGCATGACGGTGTGGTGCGGGCAACAGCTGCTGGCTTTGTGTAGTGAAGGCGTGAAGTAGGAGGACGTCTCACCTCAAACAAGCCTGGTCACGATTACTATCGTGCTGAAATTTTATATTATTTTTGAACATTTAATGATTCCCTTCGAAAATACTCCATTCTAAAAGTTGTTGTTTTTTCATGCCATGAGCTCTCGATAAGATCTATAAATTCTTATATTTGAGTTTTTTTCATTTCAGGTCCTTAAGATGCTCAAAAAAATAATATAATATTCCAACAGCATATTAATCGCGTATTATGGCTTGTCACCTTAGAAAAATAATATCATTCTTGTACGGTGTCGAATAAAGATACTTTGTATATGAAAATTGTTGTTGTCGATGAGATTTATAAATTCCTGGTTTTGAGTTTTTTCGTTCGAGATCGTTAAGATGGTCCAAAAATTGATACAAACTTCAGGGAGCCAAACAGTACTGCCGCTGACATGTGGGTCCCATCTGTGAGATCCATGTTAGCGCTAAATCGACATGCCACATATGGAAGCGGGTCGAACCAAACCCAACACCGCCTAAGACTCAGGCCCGGCCTAGGGCGGGGCGAGTGGGACAACCGTCCCTGGCCTAGGGAGCCGGATGGGCCCCTCCCCAGGTACGCGACACTAGTAGTATTCGGCGTATGTGAGCCTAGTAACAAACATACGTCTGTGAGTCGCAGACGTAGGTACGCCGCAGCAGCAGCGACTCCTCGGTCCTCATGACGACGCCGAGATGCTTTGAGCCTTCGTCTGCGAGTCGCGGAGTCGGTGCCTGTTCATTCTCTTTCCTCTGCATACGACTATGACTCTGCTGCTCTACGAGTCAGGTTGTTGTTATACTTTCTGGAATTATTTTAGATTCACATTACCTATAATTTTTCTATCCTTATTTATTTTGATATTGTTTCCCTATAAGAAATTTCTCAATGCTTATGCCTTAGCCCTGAATATCATTTGTCTTAGCCCTGAAATTTCTTCTAGCAGAGAGAGTGGCAACTATTTCTCAATGTTTTAACCCTGAGTATCATTTGCCTATAATTGTTGTATCCTTATTTATTTTGATATGAACATACATCATGTAGGGATAGTCTGCCTTTTGTTTTGGGAAAGGCACATACATATGTCAAGACCACTTGAACGATAAAGAGCATTTTATCAATTTTGCAAATAGGAGGGGTAATGCTCTCTATTTTTAACGTTGTGCTGTTTTGCCTACTTTTTGGAAAGGATTCTTGGTTTCCTGTACTTATTAGTTTCCCCTTCAGTGCCAGAGCTTGTTGCCTTGCAGCCTGTTATGAACTTTAGGGCAGCAGCAGTCCCATGATGTCACTGTTTACAATCTAATTTATATACTTGCTCAGCTTACACGCTCAACCAACCCGCCCTGCAGCAATCCTACCAGTGTAGGTTGCAGCTGATTTTTATGCAGTTACATAGTTATAGTTCCATGTTAGATTTGTAGCTATGGAATATATTTACATCCAGTCCCATCGCCTTACCTCTTTTCATCCTTTTCAACGTCTCTCTGACCTCAGATTCTTGGATTCTCCGCACAAAGCGTCTATTGGTGTCATAAAAAAAGTCATCCAACTAAAATATTGTGTCCGTATTCTCACCATTGAACAATTTGTCAAAATACTCTTGCCATCGATGTCGGATCTCATCCTCCTCCACCAAGAGATGCTCCCTTTCATCCTTAATGCACTTAACTTGGTTGAAGTCCCTTGTCTTTCTCTCACTAACCCTAGCCATCCTATAAATGTCCTTCTCTCCTTCTTTCGTACTCAAATATTGGTAAAGATCCTCGTACGCTCTACCCTTTGCCACACTCACAGCTCGCTTTGCAGTCTTCTTTGTCATCTTGTACTTCTCTATGTTGTCGACACTCCTGTCATGGTACAAGCGTCTATAACATTCTTTCTTCTCCTTAATAGACCTTTGGACTTCCTCGTTCCACCACCAAGTATCTTTTGCCCCGCCTCCACTTCCTTTGGTTACTCCACACACCTCTGAGGCCACCTTCCGAATGTTGGTTGCCATCTTCTCCCACGTGTTGTTTATGTCCTCTTCTTCCTTCCAAGAGCCCTCTTTGATAACCCTTTCCCTGAATACCTCTGACGTCTCCCCTTTCAGTTTTCACCACTTTGTTCTTTTAATCTTAGCTTGTTTGTCCTTACGGGCACGCAACTGAAAACGAAAGTCTGCCACTAAAAGCTTATGTTGAGAAACAACACACTCCCTGGTATCACCTTGCAACCCAAGCATGCTCGTTTGTCCTTTCTTCTTGCGAGGACAAAGTCAATCTGTCTAGAGTGTTGTCCGCTACTAAAGGTCACTAGATGAGATTCTCTCTTTCTAAAGAAAGTGTTGGCTATCATCAGATCAAAAGCTACCGCGA